TTAACCAGGATAAGCCTTTCACTAAACTGAAAGTTCTTCTGTTGACAGTCTTTCTTGTGTTTAAAGGAAGAAGTCTAGGGGGTTTTGTTGACTTGCACATGTCAAGACTAGACATTGACATAGTGCCCACCCACAGAGATAGTTTGGGTAGGATTTAATTACCTCATCCTGGGCTGTATTTGATGTTCATGTTGGGCCTGTAGCAGAAAATGAAGAGGGGTACTAATTATTATGGATGTCTGTGTCACCCCAATGTAAAGTGCTTAAGAGACATTTCTCTCATCTGATCATCCCAAAAGCATCCTAAGAATAGGTATAGACAGTCGGCCCTCGCCACTTTGCGATAGAGTGACGCCGTGAAAGTCGAAGCGCGAAGTGGCGAGGGATGACTGTGTATGAATAAAGAATCCTACTTTGTGGAAATTCATTTATCGTGGTAGAGTCTGGAACTGATTAACCGCCATAAACGAGGGCCAACTGTATTGCTCTTGTCCCCATTTGACAGAAGAAGGAACTGAGGCTCAGAGAGGATCACCCAGTTTATCAGTGGAAGAGCCAAGCTGTTGATTAATTGCCTAGTCTGTCTCACTCAGAAACACACTTAACCTTGATAGTGATGTCATGGTGTCAACAATCAAGAGATTTAGGCTAGTGTCTGTATTCCTGACTTCAGCAAGTCCAGGGAAGTTCTACAAACCAAAGCACCCTAAACCTCAGCTGTGCATTTGTATACTTTATTAAGAAATAGGAGGGAAGCACCCAATATGAGGGAAGCACTGTTCTAGGTTCTGTTGGGATGGATCTAGAGAGGAATAGGGTCTCTGCTGCCAACATATGGACAACATGTTAGAAGGGAAGGTGCCTAGGTCCTAACTGGAACTCTGGTGGTCAAATGAATGAAGAGTCCATTTGACATCCTGCTCCATGGCTGTGCTCTACGTTTTGACATTGTCCATACATCTGAGAGTAGAAGAACAGGACTGATGAAGAAATTTCTTTCAAACACCATTCCCGACATAACAGGATATCTTTTGTTGCTGAACATGTATCTACTTAAACCTCTGTAAGTAGTGTAGAATTTGTTTTAACAAACCAATAACAAATACCAAGTTGTCTAAGTACTCTGCTCCATAGGCTGTGAGTTCTCTCTCACTCCTCTTGCTGGTGCTTGCAATAAAAATGCTGCCCATTATTGATGGCTTAGTGGGTCTCATTATCTCATCTACTCTTCACCACAACTTCCTTGGGGAGATACAGTTATACCCCTTTATAGCTGAGGACACTGAGGCTCAGAAAGGTGAAACCAATTTGCTCAAAGTCACACAGCTAATAAGTAGCAGATTTAGAGTTCAAATCTATACCTTGGCTTCAAAGCCCATGTTCTCAACTTCCACTCCTGAAAATAATCCTTCCAGGGTGTGATATAATCCAGTATCTGTACCAACTTCTTTGATAGGTATTAGTCATTACCAAGAAACTACTATCTGCATTGAGAAAGCCTTGATTTTTAGATATTTATGTGCAATTAAAACCAATACCAAAGTAAAGCAGCTCTTTGATTAAAAATAAATAAGTAAATCATATATTTCCATCAGCCACTTAAGTAATAAGTACTTATTCTCATTTATTTCTCTACCTCTACTTTTCATTCTAATTAAATGAACTCAGAATAGATCCTTCTACTGACTTTCTGTTTTATATGCCAGAAGTTGGGGACCTGAGATGTGAAAAGTCATTTTTCTGCTGCTTCTATCTGGGGAGATTGGCTGGAAAAGGGGTTGAGAATGCAACAGGCCTCACACAGGAGCTGAGAAAGTCGATGCTGGAAGGAGGATTCTGTGCCCACACCCTTCTTCAGAAAGGAAAATTAGGAGCCCAAAATACTAGTTCTTATTCACAGATCCTTTGAGACCAAAGACAAGACCCTTCCCTTGACTTGTCAACTATGAAGTATGAACAAGAACTCTAAGGTACCTTAAAGCCAGGTAGTGATGTTGCTGACAAGAGCTGGAAGAAGTGGGTGGAGGAATGAAAAGGTTCCTCATTCCTAGGGAGCTTGGATGCTTGTGGCCCGGACTGTCCGAACGGCAGGGAAGCAGTGTGTTCTCCATGATAGGCAGCGTGATCAGCTTACAGGCTCATCCCAAACCACTGGTTCTGGAATGTTTTCTTAGGCTGTGTGGGCTTCTTAGAGAAATGTTATAAAGAAGAGGCACCATGTGGCACCCAGGATGAAATGCCCTGGTGATTCATTCCTCTTCTGATCCTGGCTGCCTCTTAGTTGATATAATGGACATTACTAGATAGTATTCAACGACACTCTCTTGAACTCCCTCATTTCATCTCTCCTATTCCGAAGAAACTCAGCTTGGATTAAGATCAGTTTGAATCCTAATCCAGTGATGCTCAAGGTGCCTCGGTTATTCTCCATGGGGAGTGTGCTGGCTGGAAGCCATAGCTCCGTGGAGGTGAGTTTTCACTCATGTCTCTCAGGCCACAGTGGCTGAGACCACTTTCCATGAGGCATCCATGGCTATAGGACACCAGCCAGGTGCACCATGGGCTCTGACTTATGTGTGCATGTTGTATTCGTCCTGGTCGCAGGCCACACCTCTCTCCTTGCAAACCCTGAAGCCCTGGTTCCGGGCAGAGAGCCTGGGCTCTTGGAGATGCTGCCCTATCCACTTGAAAACATTGGAGCGCCGAGTTCACCATCTCACCATTCCACTGTTGTTCTACCAAGCTGGCTTTCTTCACGCTCTTCTCTGCCTTTTCTTTAGTCAGCAACAAACACAGTTCCCTTCACATGGGTAGGTATCGTCCCCTAGCCCGCCTTCCTCACTGTGCTTTGCATTGCTATGTTGCCTGTTGTTATTCAGCTTTTCACTGTTCTTATTCCTTCTCTTCCACCATTCTTAGCCCATTTTTGATATGTTCTGTTCGGTTCTTGTCCCTCTGTCCCACTCACCATCAAACAAAGCAACTCAGAAACAATCTAGACATTGTCACAGCAGTAAGAACGTGTGAGCTACGCCAGACACGAACAGTTTCAATTTTGACTACATAAAAATGAAATAATTAAAGAATACAATTGTGTACCTGGTTTCACAAGAGATGATGTAAAGAATAATCACTTCTGCCACAAGTGGATGTTTGACATTTGGGGATTGAGACAGGAAAACAGGTGCGTGCACACAGAGAGGCTGCATTGAAAAAGATTCATAAAAATGCAACAACAGTGCATCTTCACTGTGGAATATGCTTTACACCCAACTTTGCAAACACAGAGCCGCCCACGTTCTATTTCCTGAGCAAATAATAGATTATGCCAGCTGCTTATTTATTCTACTGTTTTACCTCAGGGAAGGGGTAGAGATTTCAAAAAAGTTAGTTGGCTGATATAATCCATCCAACTTACTGCAAGACCACACACACACAATATGTAAAATACCACCGTGCACACATGTTAAGATTTATTAAGGTATTTAGATCATTTCAGAATTCTAAACTTGTGCAGCGTCATTATGTAACAGACTGCTCTTCTTAAAATACTAGAAAAAAAATTACACATTTCACTGAAGGCAATCCCCGGAAGTCGTTTATTTTAAAAAGTTCTTGTTATTTACACAAAATTCAATTTTTTTGAGGCATTTGCATCCTTTGTCATGCATCTTACAGAATAGGCCACTTTTTGCAGAAACATAAAGACAAAGTGATTTTTCCTCCCCAAAGCATACTTTTGTACTGGTGTCTTAAAATAGCTCTCGGTGAAATTTTATGCACATGGAAAAAGAATATACAGGGAATGTATGATATAAATGTAAAATAGAAGGGTATTATTGTGTTTGGAGCTGGAGCTTTCGTCTTGGACACAAAACCCATCAATTATTAGTTGATTGATATGTCGATTTTCCATGGCTGCCCAAGTTAATGAGCCATGGAAGCTTCCTGCAGAACTACAGGGATGTCTCTTGAGTCTAATTAATTTTTTGAAGTTTGTTGGGAGAGTGTTGTTACAACAAGAAAAAAATATGTATTTTTTTAACCTGCTCACAATGTTGCTTTAAAACTCTGGAATTTTCAGATGAATGATAATAAAGTTTTTGTTTTAGAACTGAAGTAAAAAATAAACAGAAATGATGCATCCCCATCTCCTCCCTCATCCCAAACCAAGGGGCCACTCCCACCAGCTGACAGAACTGCTTGCTCTCAGCCAGTGGTCTCCTTGCAGAGGTGCTCTGGTGAGCTGTGCACAGGAACGGCTGTGGTCCCCTCTTGTCACCCGCACTCACACGCCGCAGGCGATGCCTTGATCTGGGAGTTGTGGCAGCTTTGTCACCTGTCTGAGCCAGGTGGCCTTCCCTGGAAGTATGCTTCTCTCTTCCTCCCAGAGCACTCTGCACTTTTCACAGCTGCCCCTAGTGTACTGTGTCGATGGTACTCAGTGTTTTCAGCCTAAAATGCTAGATGAGAATTTAAGGGGAAGTTTAGAACCTGGTTTTTCATTTTTAGTTGTCCCTGGTGATCTTCCTTAATCTCTAGGAAGTTGTTCTGTTGCGAAAGAACTGTGAAATGAATTTCTGGGACTGCTGTTCATGGCGCAGAATCCAGTGTCCACAGGCCTCAGTGGCCCAGGCCTTGTCCTCACTCAGCCCTTCCTCTTGGAATGTCACCTCTGTAAAAATTACAGGGCTCGGCTCGACCTGGTATGAAGTTATCTTTGCCAAGTGTTCTGTTTCATCAGGTACTAAAGTCACTGTGCCCTAGTCTGTGATGCAGGGCACATCCCACCCGCAGTGGAATCATATATTTTAAGTGATTTCTGAAAATGGGCCATGAACACTGTCTGCCACGTGGCCCATGTTTGCACCTGTCTATGTAGTTACAATTGAGGGATTTGACGGTATAACTCTGAATCTGATTAATTAAGAATGTATAAAAACAAAGTTCTTCATTACAGCTCGTTCCTTATCTTTGTGTCTTTTACTGTGATGTTGTAGAACTTGGATCATATGGAAAACTAAAATATTATGACACAATGACTGAAGAAGGTAAGAAGATTTTAGAATTGTATGCATTGGCTTTCTTTTATTTATGGTGTCTGTTGCTTGCCCATTTTTTTTTTAAGTCATTTTTTTCCTCTTTGCATGAATTCAGTGACACTGTGTGAGTTATTCTTCTTTCTGCATTTTCGTCTAGTTTTTGCCATCCTGTATATTTGGAATTGGAGACATGCAATACCTTGGGTAATCATGTTATTCCATTCAAATGATCCAAACCATCGTAACTGTGTAACATACTCAGAGAAATGGTGTCAACAATGTAAACACAGGCAACACCCATCGTGTCCACCTTGGTTCCTCCACATGCTCACAACAATGTAGAGAACCACATCCAGCCAACACTCCTGCACGATGCCCTAATTTCAGAGGGCGTATATATTCTGGTGATATTCTAATTTATGCAAAGAAATAAGAGGTCTAAAGTAACTCCTAGATCCCAAAACAGCTAGAGACCTGTTTCTGATTTGGGGGGCTGCCAGCTCATGTCCTCGGCTCCCACAGTTCCCATTGGCTCAGTTCAGGGCATTACTCTGAGGGGCCGGGGTCACCATTCCAGCCAGTAGACTCGTATATATTGAGATTCACCCGCTGTGAGCTTGGGCATTTCATTTTAAGCACTTCCCCTGGGTAAATGAAGTCTGACAGAGATTTATTTCTAAACATATTCACTAATGAATTCCAGGCACCATCCCAGAGCACAGCCTTGCCCCAGTCAGTCTCTGTTCTGAAATAAGTTCACCACAGATCAGCAATTTGAACATTTTGCATTCTTCTAAAGGGAGTGGTCCTGGTGCCCGCTCCCCCATCTCACCCCGCACCTACCTCCACCTTTTGAATAATAGTACGTGTAAGTTATGAAAATATTTGATATTTTTACATGAGTTTTAACTGATGTTGACAAGGTATCAAAAGGGGAGTCAGCTATTTTTATCCTTCAATGTGAGAAATACTCCCAAACGTGTTGCATATCTTGTTTTCAGCCTCTAGTATTTCTAAGTTGCCTTAGCTTGCCAGAGAGTTCCCAGGAGCTGCGCCTGCAAGAAGCAGAACATCTGACAGCAAGAGGAAGCCCCTCCGCAGCCCCTCCGCAGCCCCTCCCCACTCTGGCTTCTGCACAACACGCAGGTCCTTCTCTTCTGCTATCCCTGTGCTTTCAAATAACCACTGTGATGTTTTCTAAAGCAGCAGGCTCTGGGGTTAGGGTCTCAGACTGGGTCCATTTTACCCCAGGGCCGTCCCAACAACTTGGGGAAATGCATACCCTTGGGGCAGAGAGAGCCCCCAAGGCAGATACTATCTATGGGAATAAGTGTCCTCCCACCGAGAGGATAGAAAGAGCAACCCATACCTCAAAGGAACACCCCTGTCCCAGCTATTCTTTTCATTCCACATCTTCAGACCACTTCAATTTTTAGCAGTGATTGGCTTGAGAAGTCAAAGCTTAGGACTCCCTGACTTTATCATTTGACTGCTCCTCCAGTATCCCCGTAGCCCCCAGCCCTGGTTTCATGGCTCAGGTGGCAGGTAGGTTTGTTAGCTTCTCCCTGACCTGTCACGACCCTTCAACTCTCTTTACTCCTTCCTGTCCTGTGCCTTGCCCTGAGGTTCCGATGACCAGGGCAGCGTCTGCCTCCCTGTTCCCTCAGTTGCCCCATTTCTCCCTTTCTCAGTTTCTTTCTTTCCTATTTCTACATCCATTTCAGCAAGGGTTGCTGTCCAAATACCCTCTTTCTCTTCCTTCCTACACCAGATCACATGAAGATGTAAAACAGCTCCTACCAATTGGATTATTCCACTTGGTAATGGCTGGGCTTCCTAAGCAGGAAAACAAAGTCAAGATCAAGTCTACAGTGGTAGCCATGGCTGGCCTGGCCCTGGCCCGGCTATGAGATTGTGTTTGTGGGCCTCACTGGTCATGTTAAACATTTCTTATTCTTCTCTTGACTTTCCTCTTTCTTTATGCATATCCCTCTGTGTCCTGTTCTTAGCTAAACATGTATTCCATCATGGAGATAGCTAATAGTAACTAAAGCAACATTTTAAAAGTGTACTCTATGAGCTCTGGCCGGTTCGGCTCAGCAGTTAGAACTTCAGCCCACAGACCAAAGAGTCTTGAATTCAATTTCTGGTCAAGGGCATGTACCTCAGTTGCAGGTCTGATCCCTGGCCCTGGTCAGGGTGGTGGGGGAGAAATCTCTCGTTCTCTCTCTCCCCCCCCCCCCCTTTCTTCCCTTCCCCTCTTCCACTCTATCTAAAAATCAATAATCAATGAAAAAATAGCCTTAGGTGAGGATTTTTAAGAAATTGTGATCTATGAAATACTAGTTATATATGATGTCAATAGGAATTTTGTAACAACCTGGGAAAAAAAGAACGCGAGATTGATTTCATAGCTGAGAAAGTGGGAGAGCGTCTGAGTTCAGTTAAACGGGTTTCTTGACCAGGTGGCTTGGAGCTTTCCGTGGTACTGGGCGCGGCGGCACCCACCGTAAAGAGCAATGGAGTTTGCAGCGTGCCCCAGATTTCCGTGGCTCGAGAACCTGTTCTTCCACGGAGCCTGTTGTGAGACCATTTTGGAAATGTCAGTTAAGGTGTTACCTTTCACTGGGAATAGGAACCTCTGAAAGACTGGTCTTCTGGACACAGCCGTCCCTCTCGGGTGCTCGTAGAAAGGGAACTTTGGGACAGGAGGTCTCCATCTGGACACTTCAAACCACACCGTTTGGCAGCTGTTGCCATGATGAGCCAGGCTTGTCTTAACCCTAATCCCAGCACTCCACCTAAAAGACTCAGAACTAGCTCAGCAACCTCCGACCTGGCAGCCGCCACATGGGATGTCTTCAAACTCCCAAGGGCCTCTCCCCTCCCACTGAAAATAACAATAACTGGGATTCATGTCACTCCCAATTTGGACTGTTTAAGGAAGTATAATTAAGAGGGAAATGTTTGGGGCAGTAGTGGGCTAGCCAGCTTCAGGAAATAGCCCCCTTTGTGAAGCATTTCTTTTCATGATTTCAGAAAGGTGACGAGCCCTGAGCAGAGCTTCATTGTAATTGTCCATGGGACTAGTCATTATTTGTAACTGTTTTCAGGGAATTCTCTGGATGTTGGATGATGTCAGCTTCTTGCAATGAGGTCTGGTTTTTTTGTGTGTGTTTTTCCCCTTAAGTGGATAAAATAGAAAAGTGGACTATATAAGCCACCCCATCCTAAGAGAAATTGAGTGATGATGTCCTAAATATAGAAATTGTTCTGCACACATCCAGTTCATTATTTTAGCACCTACTGTATGCGAGTTACTCTGCTAGGTGCTTTGGGAAAACACAAGGCTAAAAGGTGGGCAAGTAGGCCCCAGGAGACTTGTAGACAGGCAGAGAGATAAAACATGGCTATCGCTGAGCCACCAGGAAGAAAGTGGTAAGTACCATAAGTATTCAGAAGAAGATGACAGATACAGGAGGAGGGAAGACTGCTTTCAACTGGGGGGAGATTTTGTGGAGAAAGTGATCTTTGGATGGGCCCCTAAGGGATCAGTACATATGAGTTAAACTGAGGAAGGAGGAGGGTTAAGTTCCGACCCCCAGGCTGAGAGGGAAGAAAGGATGGGGCACACCAACCTCAACGGGGTACCTCCACCTGCCAGGTGCAGTGCTGTGGGCTTTATATATTTAATGTGATCTAATCCTTAAAATGATGCCGCAAGGTAGATTTTATTGAAGATGAGAAAACCTAAAGCTCAAAGAAGTATTTTATTAAGATGAGGACGCTAAGACTCAGAGAGACGGGGTACCTTGCTCTGGGACTCAGAGACAGTAGGTTGAGATGTAGGACCTGTGGCTTACCCCAGCCCTGCCCTCCCAGCTCTGCTGTGGTTGGCTGACAAGGTGGTGTGAGGACAGTTCAGATTGGCTGCAGTTTAGGGAGTGGGAAGTAAGGCTTGATGGAGACCACATTTAGGGAAGGTTTGAACTACAAACTAAGAATAAGGACATCATAGAATGAACAGTAAGGAGCTATTGAATAAAACATAAACCCCTACTTGAACACTTCACCATAAAAAGTTTATTTTAATAAAATAATATACTCACTCTTGGGCACTGAACAAAATCATGACTTTTTCTCAAAATTTGTTCTTGACCTTAGGGCACTTTCCCTCCCTTCCTAGAACCTACACTGGAGTAGCTCACTGGGCCACACCCCACCTCCTCCCCACACCCAGCCACTCATTCATTCATTCCCTAAGGCACAGTGCTGTGTCTGACATCACTCAGCATGCCCCAGGTGCTGGACTGGGTACAGGGCCTGTGGAGGGTAAAAGCTGTCCTTCTCCTAAAGAACTCACCCTCTGCTGGGGGACACAGGCGGAGAAGGAGTGGTGGGGTGGGCATCTCCACTGCCTCAGTCCTGCTTCCCAAGATGACAGCTGTCTCACCGGCCACCTGATACTAATGTGTTCACTTAATAGCAACTGAGCACATGTTCCGTATGAGACATTTTACTAGACTGGCTAGATTAGTGAACTTCACTCCTCCCAAGGACTATATTTTCTTCTGCAACAAGATGTTTCCAGAGGTGTAAATTTCTACGAAGTAGGCTTTTGGTGAGTTCAGACCCCCTACATGAGCAGCCACCCCTCTGTCTCCTCATGGAGTGATACTGCCTAGTCTTGGAAGAACGACATCCAATTTTACCTAAAGTTAATAATCCATCATCTAGTTTTCATCTGCAGATAGTCAAATTTTATACCATTGAGACGCTGGACAATTCTCAATAAATTGAACTTGGCTTCCTTACTAACGTACTGTAGATGAAAATATAAAAAGCTAGTTGAAAACTTATACAATAGAACAAGATGAATTAAAAGGAGAAGAGACCCTTCCACCGATAGCATTATCAGGAACTAGAAATGTTTGCTAAATAAATATTCATAGAAACATATCTTGCAAAGAAGTGATGTATGGGGAAAGTTGCCTGCAATGTATTACCCT